ATTTTTGAAACAGGTTCGAATATGCTTAAGCAAATAGTAAAAAGAGGCTCAAAAATATGCTTTAGCTTAAGCATATTTCTGATAAAATAAACCTATTTCAATATTTTCTAAAAGTGTGCACGTTACTAAAGTTCTAGCAGATTTTAAAGGTATGTAGAGTCCTGTTTGAATACGCTTTTCGAAGTATAGATCTTGGAAAATATTGTTTTTCAATTTTAATAAGATATAAATTTAAGTATAAGATCTTATAGTTCAATCAGTTAGATACGTGATAATTTGCCGCAGAGATCCAGGTTCGCATCCCGCAGCCATTGTAACTTTTGTTCATCAAACTCTTTTTACTTAAGATAGCATTTTTTGACCTCCATGTTCTATATTACAGATCTTTCGTCACCTTCATAATAGTGACAACCTCTCTTCTGTTAGTTATTCTTTTAAGATTGAGTTCATTGTGCTTAATTCTACACGTTTCCCTTGCTTTAATAAGTTCTACTTAAATTATGATGAAATGTGCGTAAAACAACTTTTTCAAATAATATAAATCATTTTGCTTTAAATCTTGTGCTTTTTGTACTAGATATCTGTCCTAAAAACTTTGTAATAATTTCTAGCTAACTCTGAGTCTAATATAATCCTTTCTGAATATAATTTCCCTGAGGCTCCTATAGCCTATTGTGTTCCATTAAAAGTAACTAGTTTTCGAGTCCAGATATTAATTATAAGCAACTAAAGGTTCAAATCACTATACATTTTCCTGATATATAGAATCCTATTTGCATACGTATCATTTTCTGTAAATTCTGTTTTATATAGTTTCTTAATTATATAATAAATAAATAATACTATTCACTTAGTTGAATGAACGTATAGCTCATTCAGTTAAGGCATTTGGCCGCGGAGACCCAGGTTCACATCCCGCTGTTTCACATATATTTCTTCTCTTTTTACTTTTTCTGATATCATTTACCTTTAGAGAGATCTCTCGTTCTTTATAATAAAGTATTTAATTGTTTATCACACATCCTCTTTATACTTTTTAAAAAGAAAGGCATACTGTTTATCTGTTCATTGAGAGTCCAAATTAACGGGATTTTACTGTATATATATGTATTTATATATATATATATATATATATATATATATATATATATATATATATATATATATATATATATATATATATATATATATATATATATATATATATATATATATATGTATATATATATATATATATATATATATATATATATATATATATATATATATATATATATATATATATATATATATATATTAGGTATATTTGTATAAACATTTGAAGAATCATTTGACAACATTTTTTTATAATTTTATTATTTATTATTTAAACTGTTAACAGTTAAAATCTTAAATATATCGTAACATAAAATCTTTTGCGTCTTTTTTTTAACTGCACATTCCGGAATGCATCTTCCGTAAGGAACTATTTCATAAGTATTCTTACGAAAGGATTTGTTTCGCAAGTTTTCTTTCGCAATGCTTTATTACGGAATTTTATTTATTTATATTTTCGTATTGCGCGTTACGGAATGTGCATTTTTGCATGTGCAACTTCCGCAATAACAATTCTATTACGGTAGATAAAGATGCGAAATTTTCGCAAGTTTTGTTTTTCGGCGAACAACCCTAATATATATATATATATATATATATATATATATATATATATATATATATATATATATATATATATATATATATATATATATATATATATATATATATATATATATATATATATATATATATATATATATATATATACATTAGCCTCAGAAGCTGTTCAATGCCACCTCTGGACAAGTTTTACAACAATGGTAATGAAGAGGGCGTAAACTTCCTTTCAAATGTACTTTTGCGGTGTTATATATATATATATATATATATATATTATATAACACCACAATATACATGAAATGTGAGGTAATCTTGGATTGAACGTAAAGAGATAATAGTGTCTGGAGACATATTGTCATTGATCAGACTTTTATTGCTGCTAAATCCTCGTTCAACTTGAGCTTGTCCATGCAATAAAATGAGGACAATTTTGAAAATGTGCTGTAGATTTGCATATATCTTTAAATCAGTGTATTTTCGCAAAAAGTAGTTCAAACGATCCTTATCTTTATCAAAAGTCAAAATAAAAGAATAGCCTTAGGTTAAAGCTTTGAATATAAGTGTTTTTTTAGTTTGTATCACTAAATGTAATATGATTATTTAATGATTCCTTTTCTATTTAGATGACATTAAAGCTGATATATCTAATGCATAGTATTTGCTTTGAACAATATCTAAACACCAAATTAACTCTGCTTTCAAAACTGCTTCCTTTTGAAGCATATCTGAAATAATACATTGTTTTGATGAGGTAGGCTTCTGTGGTACTGATTGCAAAGTTTCTTTAAACTAAACAAAATAACCCTCTTTAGGCAATCTCTCTATTTGTTTTGCTCCTCCCCCATGTTTATCAAGAGCCTTTATACCCATGGCTGCTACTGAGAATGACTTAAAACAAACTTTGCATCTTGCAAGGCTAGAATTTTTATCTTTCTGAAGCCAAGAAGTGTAACAATCATTATTTAACAAAATATCCTGAAAACTACTTTTATATTTAAATCTCTTAAGGCAATTATTGAAAAGCATATAACAATCTTTTTAATATCAAGTTATTTTAATATCTTGCTAATGATATATATATTGATAACTTTGTGTGTCTTTTTGATGAGTCTTACAATAAAGTTGTAAAGAAAGGTCAAATGGACTTACCTGTGCGATATTGGAATGAAGAGAGTAATACTGATTGCACAAGATAATATACTTTAGAGTTCATGGGAAAAGCTGCAGTCCCAGATATTCTAAATATGTTTAAATCCTGCATGACTGGTTTAAATGCTGAAAAAAGGTTTCAATGGATGGCCCTAATGTAAACAAACTGTTTTTGGAAATGCTCAACAAAGAACATCACTACACATTTACTTCTAGGCTTCACCAGACAGCAAAGCGTCCTAACCACTGCACTACAGCTTAAATGCACTTAAACATAGCGGTAACATAGCGGTAACATAGCAGTAACATAGCGGTATAACTGCAAAACCATTAGTTCTTTATTTTTATTGCTAACTTTATTTTTAAAATGTTTAAATTTAGCAAAAAAAATTTCCTTACTTTTGCTTTTCATTAATCAATAACATCTTAACATCAAGAAAAAATTGTAAAATACTGCAAATATTCATATCAAATCTTTTTATATATAATTTTACGATTTTCAGTAATTTGTCGGTCAATTTAATAGATATTAACAAATATGGCAACAAACACCAATATGCATAGCAAATAACAGGATAAAACAGTTTTAGAAAATTTTGAAAAAAAATGATCATAGTAGTTTTTTCATTATAACTAATCATAGTTTTCATTATAACTATATGATCATAACAATATGATCATATATGAGGTTACTCATATATGATCATATATATGATCATATATGATTTACAAATAAAATATTATTTTATTAATATTTTAATGTTTTCATTATAACTATATGATCATAACAATAAGATCATATAGTTATAATGAAAAAACCTCATAAAAATACCAAAGAAAGTGTTTTTCAAAAGGAGCTTTCTAAAATTTGTATGATCTGCTTCACAACATTTTACCATAAAATTGTCCATATCAACTGCATAACTAAGACATAAAATTTAGCCCATTAATTATAAAATAACTTATTTTTTTTTGAAAATTTCCAATATTTTCAAAGTTTTTGGAAATTTTCTGCAAAATTTCCTGAGTTGAAAATTTCCGGAAAATTTGCAACTCTACTAATGTTCTTTTAACTTATCAATACTCTAGGTAAAGTATTTAAATTAATTTTTTTTTTCCTATTAAAATCTTTATAAATATGTATAACCACTACAAATCGGCTGTTTGTAATTATATATTATCTAATTATATAATCAAATTATGTCTGTTTGTTGTTATTATATCTTTTTATTGATAATCTATTAATAAAAGATTAATGTTAATTATTTTGTAAGAATCGTTTAAGATCATTATTTTCAGTCACATATTATTTTCATATGTCACATAATGAACTCTTTTAATCCTTTCTTTTGTAAATGATTGTATCGAAAATCTAAACTGACTGTTATAACTTTTAATTTAATTTTTAAAGATTTTAATCTAGATATTGAAGATTTATAAAATTAGATAATTTATAAAAAAAGATTTCTTAACGATATTATATAATTTTTATATTAGTTGTTTTAGCTATTTAGTTATTTGGGTCATTATTTTTAACAAACGTCTTTTTTTTTTTTGAAGAAATTATTATTTAGATAATATTTAAAATAATTTTCAATTTTTCCTAAAATAACCTTATAGCATTTGTTTGTTTATATCTTATATATATATATATATATATATATATATATATATATATATATATATATATATATATATATATATATATATATATATATATATATTATATATATATATATATATATATATATATATATATATATATATATATATATATATATATATGTTATGTTATAGTTTCACAGGGCTCAATTTATGGGGGCAATCAACCATTGTTCATTTTCAATGAAAAAATCAACAATGGTTTGTTGATCTCCTCTAGTAGGTCTCAAAAATGGTCCCAGGGGCGGCGATGTCTGACCATTAAATTGAGCCCTGGTTTCATTTAACAAACACTTTTAAAATAGAGCATCTAAATAATAAATGAGAGGTGTGGAATAGTGGAGGTGGAAGTGTGGAGGTGTGGAGACCTACAAAGACCTGTATTACAGGTCCTGACAAACTAGTAATAATAGTGAAAATATCATATTTTTAAATACTGATTAACTTGACATTTAGACTAAACCTAAATGCTAACACCTTATAAAATGAAAAAGTAATTAAACCTTAAAAATTTAAGCTAGAAAGCTTACATTCAATAACAAAATGCTTCCTCCAACAGCTGCAGCAAGTGCTTTACCCACTTTGCCAACTAGATACCCAGTGAGCCTAAAAATAAACAAAATCTATAAAAAAATTTATATTGAACTTGGTTTTCTATAGTACCAAATAACTTTTATAAAAAATTTTGTTTTGTTTAAGCAATGAAACTTTTGGTTTTTGGTATATCCATTATTTGCTTACTATAATTAGTTATCTTATTAATTCTTTTTGAACAAATTCAAAATTAAAAAAATAAGCTTAATTACAAAATGTTTCTCCATAATTCACCATATTCCCTATATTCCATAAGCTAGCTTTGTATGGTGAATTCTGGGAAATATTTTACAATTATTACACCATTCCTTTCCAACCAAGATACTAGAGTTGTTCTTGATGGACAACACTTACCTTTGCTTCCAGTAACTTCTGAGGTACCACAGGGTTCCCTCCTGGCACCTTGTGGTACTCCAGAAATGTTGTTTCTAATCTATATTGAATGTTACATTGCATTTACTGTATTATTTCTCATATTAAGGATTTTCCTGACAATTTAACACCTAAAGTGGCGACACCTAAAATTTGATGATAAAAAATCAAATCTTATCTTTATATCTTGTTTTATCTTTATATTTTATCTTTTTTTTTTTATATTTTATCTTATTTTTTTTATATTTTATCTTATTTTTTATTATTATTATTTTAATATATATATATATATATATATATATATATATATATATATATATATATATATATATATATATATATATATATATATATATATATATATATATATATATATATAATTCTAAGTTAAAAAATTTCATTAAAGAATTTCTTTATGAACTATATTACTCTTGAGTCCCTTATAAAGAGGGGGGGGGGGCGTTTATCAATTTCTGGAAAATTTTCCCACCCACTCCAAGCTTATTAAGACCCTAACCAACCCCCCTCCCCCGTTTAATAATTTTTAATTGTTTTCACCAAAAACTTTTTTAAAAAATCAGTAAAAACCAACCTTAAAACTCAGAAAATAATTCTTTCAGTCATCGATAAAAACCCAAAATTTTAGCGTAAACAAGCTTTTAAAATCACCGACCTGGTATATCTGGATTCAGCATATTAAGTCCTATTGTAATTATGCTAAAACAGCTCTTTGAAAATGTTTATTAACCGCTGAGTCTTTTATTATATTAATATTTATTATTATTAATATATCAGTATCAATTAGTTAACTAATAAAAAAATATTCTAAAAATAAACGAAAACAGAATAAAAAAATATTCTGAAAAAATAAAAATAGAATTGAACCCAGAACGAAGGCACAGAGATCAAATTTATTACTCACTACACCTCACAATAATATAACCTATTAAGTTAATAAAGTTTACATAAAACAAATTTGTTTTGAGGCATTATACTTTTTAAGTAATTAACGCACTTTAAAATAAAATAACTTCCACATGATTAATACGTAAGCATTACATCAGCATTACACTATTAGGGAAATCAGGGAATCAATGACCTGGGTAAATATATATTAGATAAATAACTTTAATACTGATGTATATTTTGAGAAATCCGTTCATGAAACTATGACGTTCCATTTTTTCTTTTGTTGTTTGTGAGCATGCTTCAAAAGTTTCAATAAACAATGTATTTGTTATATATATACAACAAATGTATTTGTTATACATATAGTTTATTAAAACTTTTTTTTTTATTTTAAGTTTTGTTTAGCTTCGACTTTTTTAATATAAGCTCATCAATTCGAAGATATCAGTAAAAATATTTAATTTATTAAATTATATTTTACAAAAAATATTTGTTGTTCCAACGTTTTGAATTTTATTTGATGTTTTTGAATTTTAAATATAACAGTCATTAATTAATAGAATGTACTAAATCGAAGCTATAAACAAAGTTTTGGTGTGATAAATTATAACGCTAGATATTTATTTATAAGATATTTATGAATATTACGCTAGATATTAATAAATATTACGCTTGGTATTTAATTTTTTTTAACATTCAAGTATTTATTGAAGTGTTGCAAGTTTTGATATTTTATTACATGGACCTTTATGCCATTTAAAGTGAAAGTTCTAGTTAAGCGAAGTTTTTTATCAAATAGATCTTAAAAAAACTTTAGTTAGCAAATGGTTTACTTAACCAGGGTACAATTAGGCAAATAATATGATAAAGTTCAACTGAAATTTAAAAAAAAAAAAACATCTTCAAAAGGCTCTCTTGCACTGAAATTTTTATTTGAACTTATGCCGTATAAATTAAAGTTAAAGCTTTACTTTATTAGGAATATAACTTCTTTATTTAACAATATGCAAACTCTACTAATTAAACATATTATGATTTCAGTAAAAAAAATTTACAACAAATATTTTTATAAAATCAATTTATAATTTTCTCCCTCGCAAGTTCTTCAGATGAGCGTGAGTTTTTACTCTCGCTATGAAACAAGGCCTGATAACACAACATATCGGACGAACAAAACGGTTTCAAAATATCTTGGTAATAAAATGATCATGGCTTTTTTCAAAATATGAGATAATTCTATGCTGGACTTGTTAATTCTAAACAACAGCCAAATACATTGGACTGTGGTATTTATGTAGCTGCTTTTGCATTTCAGCTGGGTGAAAAAGATGCCCTAACGCAGACATTTGAAAACAAAATGATGGGTCCTTATCTCATTTGTAAGAAGGCAATCCAAATTATCAACATTTAAATCATGTTATTTAATATTCTTTAACTGTATCTTAACTAACCACCATGTCGATTAATACTCATGGTATAGGCCATACTTATTGTTCAGGTATGTTATTTAACAAATAAAATAGATTAACATAATTTAAAATATTTTATTAAAAAAAAAAAAGTTTTAGTAAAAATTTCATTGATTGCAGGTGGGGAAAAAATATACTTTCCTGTACATACTTTCCAGTGGAATAAAAACTGATACAAACACTTGCAACAGGACAGGAGAACTGTATAGTTTTTAATTGTTTTTTGATTATTATTTTATTTGTTACTTGTGAAGTATAAGTCTAAAAACTTGTCCTTTGATTAAAATAAAAACATTTTTGTATTTTTGTTGTTGTTATTTTTTTTAGTATGAAATAAAAAACTTCTATTAATGATTATAAAAGAATACCTTAACAGTCTCCTCACTAGACACTGTTCTCAATTAATAAAAAAATACCTTAACAGTCTTCTCACTAGACACTGTTACCACTCAATAAAAGAATACCTTAACAGTCTTCTCACTAGATACTGTTCTCACTCAATAAAAGAATACCTTAACAGTCTCCTCACTAGATAATGTTCTCATTCAATAAAAGAATACCATAACAGTCTTCTCGCTAGACACTATTCTCATTTGATACAAGAATACCTAAACAGTCTTTTCACTAGACACTGTTCTCACTCAATAGACACAGAAAATTAAAATTGTAAACTTTCATTTTAAAGGGATAAGTTCCTTTTAAAATCCACAAATACAAAACTTATATGATTATAATTTAGATTCATACTTATGATCCTCTGATCTGAAATTACACTCAGCTGAGCTTTTTTGTAATTGTTTCATTAATATGTTTTACTTTAGAAAATAATTTTAAAAAGAAATATAAAGAAAAACTAAAAAATTTCAAAAAGAAGTTCAAAAACTTTAAAATTTGAAAATACCATCCAGTGGCACCTCCAATTCCAAGTTGTATGGATGATGAATTTTTTGAAAAATCTAGAGTCAATATTTTTTTTGAAATAATGCTTTTGTATGATGCTTCTTCATCCTCTATCACAGATTCATCAAGAAACTCAAAGTCAGTCTCATCTAAAAATATTTTAAATTTCATTAATAAAACAATTTTTATTTTATATTGTATACTATATATGCAACCCTTGGCCACAAAATTTTAAAAGTTAAATTCCAGGACATTTCCAGGACATTCCAGGACATTTTGTTGCGTTATTATTATTATATTATTATCGTTATTATACAATTATAACTCTCTTATTTAAAATTAAGTTCAAACCATTTATATAAAAAAAAATTTCACATAAAAAATTTAATATTACTTCAATATTATTAGTAATTTTTTAACTTGACTCAAAAAAAAAAAAAAAATCCAGGACATTTTAGGACATTTTTGAAAAAAATGTAATTTTCTAGGACACTTGCAAAAATCCAGGACATTCTAGGACATTCCAGGACTGTGGCCACCATGAACTTGGAATTGGTGTCGGCATTCGGCAATGCCAACCTAATTACTAACCTTTTTCCTAATTCCGAGGTTTGTATATATTTTCAAAATTTTTTACTAGGGGTGTCCTGGATAGAATATTAGTTCCTGAACTGATAATAAAATAATCCGGTTGGTTACGCCAGATATTTTATTGTAATCAATAACAAGAAAAAAAACTACTGCTATAGTTTCAAAGGTACACAGTTTAGATCTGATCAATTTATTTGGTAACTAACAGAATGAGAGTATCTATGCACAAATTCTAAAATGTTCATCTTTTTAAACAATCTAATGTTAATAGATTCAAAAAAAAATTCTTTAAGCTACATAACTTAAATAATTAAGAATTAATTGTGCACAAGAAATACAAATTTTATCACTCATTTATAAATATATTAGCATTATCATATATAAACAATAACATTTTTCTGTGTTGAGGTAACAGCCTTGATAACTTTTCCTCATAAATATTTTGATATTCAGAAAACAATTTCTTCAAAAATGTTGAAAACCCTGATAGTAATTTAAGGACTACTTCTTTTAGCAGTATATGATAACCAACCATTTAGTATTACTAATTGTTGTAAAGCCAGAGTGATTTTGATGTTTAACAAGGGGGAGTCTGTTTAACTGCCAGGAAGAGAATGGCCATTATATTCAAGAGTCAAAGATTTCATTGCAAATAAATCTGCTTTTTTCTGGGGAGAAGTAAAAAGATCAGATCCATGAATTAGAGATTAAATGTTAGACTTAGTTAATGACGTAGTTGAAGACTAATCAAAAGTCTCTAGAACCTAACATCTGAGGAATTTTTACATTAGCTTCTTGCAATACTAAAAAGACACTTGCTTTTAAGAAAGATATTCTTGTAATAAAGATAAAAAAAAATGATTAATGTATAAAGAAGCCACTGCTCAAGATGGTGAAAAATGTGAAATAGAATGAGGCTTGACCTAAAATTGAAGAGAAGTAAAAAAAGCTTCCATGATGCACTTTATGCATACATTTTATGGATATAAACATATATGCTTGTTATTTATTTAGATGCTGGCATAGAATATCCTTTCATTGTTATATAAACTTTAGTATTTATATGATGTTGTCGGTGACTTTAATGTTCATCACACTGAATGGCTTGGCTCTAGTGTCAGTGACTCTGCAGGCATTAAGGCCCACAACTTTTGTCTTTCTCAATCCCTAACTCAAATAGTCAACTTTCCAACTCGCTTTCCAGACAACCCGCATCATTTACCTTCTCTACTCAACTTATGTCTTGTTACTGATCCTAGTCAGTGCTCAGTTTCTTCACACTCACTCTTAGGTGCTTCTGATCATGGTTTGGTCTCTCTCAAACTATTAACTCATTCTTCTTTACCATCAGAGTCCCCCTATCATGGTACATCTTACAATTACCTTAAAGCTAACTAGGACTCTTTCCGTGATTGACAAATGTGCTTCTTACATAACTTTGTGGATTCAGGCTGGCATGGAATCCTTTATTCCCTTTCGACGATTTCAGGTCAAGCCTCACTCTTTTCCATGGTTTTCCTTACATTGTGCTGCTGCAATTGCCAATCGAAACCATTACTTCCATATCTATCAGCAAAACAATTCTCCAGAAAACAGACATCTGTTTATTACTGCTAGAAACCATTGTAAAAAGGTTTTGTCTAATGCCAGAGCCCGCTATTCTCAGATCATGAAATCTCGTATTTCAACAGAAAAATTAGGCTGTCATGACTTCTGGAGAATCTTCAATAGTATCAATAATAAGGGCAAGTCTGTAATTCCACCTCTTTTGTATGGTTCAGACTTTGTCACTTCACCTAAAGACAAAGCTGAATTGTTTGCCAAGAACTTTTCATCAATATCATCTCTTGATTCCACTAGTTGCATTCTACCTGATATAGCCATCTAACAGGTTGATCCACTGCTCGACATCCGTATCACTCCAGCTTCTGTATCTAAAGTGATTTCCTGCTTAGACTCTTCTACAGCTTGCAGCCCAGACAACATACCTGTTATAGTCTTGCAGAAGTGTTCTCCGGAGCTGTCATCTATCCTTTCAAAACTATTTAACAAGTGATTATCAGAGTCTTGTTTTCCAGCCTGCTGGAAAGCAGCATCTGTTATCACTATTTTTGAAAATTCTGGAGAGCAATCCAATTCGTCTAACTACCATCCCATTAGTCTTCTTCCTATCATAAGCAAGGTTTTTGAATATTTAATTAACAAACACTTAATCTCTCATCTCGAATCTCATAACCTATTTTCTGATCATTAATATAGATTTCGATCTTCTTGTTCTATGGCTGATTTGCTATCAGTAATAACCGATAGGTTTTATTGCGCATTAGATAAAGATGGAGAGGTTAAGGCCATTGCTTTTGACATTTCTAAAGCATTTAATAAAGTTTGGCATGCTGGTCTTCTCCATAAGCTTTCTTCTTACGGTGTATCTGGAAACATCTTTAAGATTATTGAATCCTTCCTTTCCAATCGTAGTATAAAAGTTGTCCTTGATGGACAGCACTCTTCTTCTTATTCTGTAACCTCAGGGGTTCCTCAAGGTTCTTGGTTCGATCTTCCAGATATTCTCACATCTAAGGTGGCATTGTTCGCTGATGATACTACCATTTATTCTTGTCACGATAAGAAGCCAACTCCCTCTGATTGTTTGCAGGGGGCATCTGAGTTTGAAAAGGATCTCACTTCTGCTACAGCATAGGGTTCACAGTGGCTGGTGAACTTTAATTCAGATAAAACTCAATTTTTTTCGGCCAATCGTTATCGCAATAGTTTAGAGCTTCCTATATTTATGAAGGGTAATGTACTCGATGAGTCTCCTACCCTTCATCTTCTACCTTTACCCTTTATCTCCTACCCTTCTAGAATTTACTCTTAGTTCTGATCTTTCTTAGCATCTGCTAAAGTTGCTTCTCTTTATCGAGCTCGTCACTTTCTTACTCTGGATTCTACTATCTCTATAAATCTCAAATCCAGCCTTGTATGGAATACTGTTGCCATATCTGGGGCAAATCTTCTAATGATAACCTTTCTCTTTTAGACAAGGTGCAAAAACGCATTGTAAACATAGTTGGACCTGCTCTTGCAGACAACCTTTAACCTCTGTCACATCGTCGTAATGTTGCTTCTCTTTCTCTTTTCTACAAATACTATAATGGGTACTGCTTTAAAAAGCTAGCGTCTCTTGTGCCATCTACTAAAATTCATTCGCGTTTTACTCGTCATTCAATTAAGTCTCATCCTTTTTCTGTTACTGTTCCTAAGTGCTCCAAAAACTCTTATTCGTCTAGTTTTTTTCCTCGAACATCAGTTCTTTGGAATTAGCTTCCTTCATCTTGCTTTCCTGATTCATATAATTTGTAATCTTTTAAGTCGTCTGTCAATCGTTATCTTGCCCTACAATCTTCATCTTTTCTCTTCCAGTAACTTCCAACACTAATTAGTGGTTGCTTGCAGCCTTGTTGAAAGCAAAGATAAATTTAAAAAAAAAAAAATTGCCAAAAGAGAAGATGATCTGATGGATGTGTGGTGTGACTCTAGCAAGACAAGAAAAGGAGGCATAATCTTAAACAGATTAGAAAAAATGTTGCATCGAACAACATTTGTTAAAAAATATTAAAGTAATTTAGGTATCAGCATGTAGAGAGGTAGCAGCTTCAATAGAAAATTGTAGTGGTAGAACTAAGAAAACTTGAAGAAAGTGCTTTACATATTGTATGAATGAGCTTTAGTTCAGAAAATAAAAAGCTCTAGATTGTTTATATTAGAGAAACAGCATAAAAGAGGAAGGCTAAAGCCTGATGATGATGATCATCGTCATCATCATTATCATTATTATCAGGCTTTAGCCTTCCTCTTGTATGATGATGATGATGATGATGATGATGATGATGATGATGATGATGATGATGATGATGATGATGATGATGATGATGATGATGATGATGATGATGATGATGACGATGATGATGATGATGATGATTATGATGATGACGATGATGATTATTGTTATTACTATCATCATCATCATCATTATCATCATTGTCATTATCATCAAGATATTAATGATGATTGTGATGATCACATTGATCATAATGTTTATATATCCATATATATAAAAAAATATAACATGAATTTTGAATTTAAAAAAATATACTTAAGGATGTATAAATTTTATGCAACCCTGCTCACAAACTGGGTGCCGGCCCTGGCTATATTTTATCTAACCCGGCCCTGTGCAAATATCAACCCACTTCAAGTCACTTATTATAGGATACCTAACCTGATAATTTTTAATAATCTGGATATCCAGTATCTAGTCGTTAATTATAAAAAAATACATTTAAAAAAATTTTGAAATAGAAAAATTAAATTATATGATAAAATTTGCCAGTGATACTCACAAAAAAAAAAACAGAATGTAAAGTCAAGGATGTGGAGTTCCAAAAGGACTCTGGCTTTATATCTTTATATCTTTTTCCTGCTCTCTGGTGCCCAGGAGCTCTAAAAATAATGACAGATATATGATTTGTAATAAGAAAAAAATTCATTAGATTTAATAAATGTTAATCTATCAGTCCTAGAGCACTTGCCGTTATTAGGCAGGATTCCAGATTTCAAAATTGAATGTTCCACTTACCTAAAAGTCAGGTTTTTCCTGTAAGTATTCCATTAGCTTTTCTTTCTTTTTTTTTTAAGTCCCTGGATATCAAAAACTGGGAGGAAATTATTTTTTAAGTCTGTAATCATTTTTGGGACTCAACATCCCTGTGTACAATTATATATTTTATATAATTGTAAGACCCAAGTTTATATACTTTTAAACAGTTTTTTTTCTATAATAAGGGACTGTCATATGTCTAATAGTCTTTCGCTACCTCTAAAAATAACTTTTGCGACCTAACTTTTTAAATGTAGTTAATTTTATTATATAGAACGAAATAGAAAAATAAAAGAAAGAATTTACCATTTTAAATTCACATGAGAAAGAACTAGTTCATCATGGTAATGACAAAATAAAAAGGCAAAAAATAGTTTGAAAGATTGTCTGGTTGTTATAATGTCATAAGAAAATGGCATTTTCCATCTAAACCACATTAGAGTGAAACTTAAGAAAAAGAACATACTTATGGGGTCAGGAATCATTTTAGCATGCATGTATATTTGTACAACCACACACAGTAAAAAAAAGCCACCATAACCAAAACCACTTAAGATTTTTACAGTTTTAAAATAATAAATAACACAAAGCACAAATAGACTAAAAAAAAATACTTCTTTTACTTTGATATTCTAATAATGAATTTTAGATAGCAAGTGAAAAAATATTATTGATTTTTATACTAAAATAGTAAAAAGAACCCTGTGCAATATCAAATTTAAATTTAGGCAATGTTAATATGAAGTCAATATTTCTTGTATCGATCAAGCGAAACTTGATTTAAAAGTAATCAAAAATGTTGCATTTGTTGACTTTCAATAGCTACCATTACAGATAAATAGGTTTGATGCTTCATTAAGTTGAATCTATTTACAGCATTGGTTTGAGTTGTTGTTGCTGTTGTTTTTGTATTATATTTGTTGCTTTTTTTTCTATTATAGAATCAGCAAAACAAAAAGATAGATATAAACTTTCTCTATACCAATATATAATAAAATATATAATAAAATATATAAACTTTCTCTATACCAATATATTATCAAATTAATGTAGCAACAGTCTGTTATTTTCAAGATGAAAAAACTTAATAAGTTGTTTTCAAAATGATCCACCTTCTTATTTTTAAATTTTGAAAACTATTTATTACAGATTTATAGTGACGAACTGTGTAGCTTGTGTATAAACATTTACAACTTACATTACAAAAAACGTAAGATTGGTTTTAGTAAGGGTCTTACCAAATGAAGATGATAGCTGTCTCGCTGATTGCTCGTCTTTATCACTACTTTTAAATTCTCTAATTTTGACCATTATCTTTGCTAGATTATAGTAAAATTAAATGTAAATTGTGAGTAAAAATAATCAAATAAGCATGATCAACATAACCAAATCGGCATTTAGAAATGTAACCTTGGGACTTAACTCGAATTTTCGGAAGACGCCGAACTATTTTTTCCTTTTTATGTACTAATTTAATTTTTTCAAAATGCTTTTTGAGAAACTTAAATAAAACATAGTAGTCCTATCTTAGAAGACTAAAAATTAGAATTTATTGACGAACTTGAAAAAAAAACTCTTCTTTTATTTTCTTATTTATAACGTGACTAGTCCCTTGGTAGACGCGTCCATAACTCTAATTTGAGGATGATATTATCCATGATAATAAGGATTCCGTCGACACATAATCCTTATCATACATATCATAATAATATTATAAACTTATCATATAATATAAATATAATTATTGTAAGTCTATCTAACGTCCTTTCTTATTCAGAGCCCACGATGTTAAGAGGGGGGGGGGACTTGCCCCACTTTTTTTTTACAGAACATTTTTTTTTTAATCTAGATATAGAGGACTTTTTTTAAATATTACCCAAAACCCGTGTCGTCGGCCCTGTTATTACTTTTTGATTTTACCACAAAACACCTTCCCACCTGTTTGTTTGTTGTTGTTATTTTTCCTTTTTTTTTTATATTGGCACCAACAAATAAACTGAGTAACGTTTTTTATTTTTTGATTTTTTTTTTTATTTGGATAATTGATAACTAGTTTCCAGTTAAATTGTTTTTAAAAGTTGCCACCGGTAAGTGTGTTTACTAATCCAGTACAACTACACGTTACTAGATGACAGATTGGTTTTTCGTTAAAGGGTGGAACAAGTGTTTGTGCCGGTGAAAAGTGTTAACATTGTAGTGGTTATTGAAAATTTAAATAAGTTAGTTAGGTGTGTAATTTTTCTTTGGATCAAAGCCAAATTGAGATTTAAAAAAAAACAATTTTGGCAGCATCCAATTGCTGTATAACCTTTTTAGTGGGCTTATTACCATTGCCGAAACAACCATTTTGTTCTTTTTTATCTGTTCACAAAACTTTTGCAACTTTATTAATAACTTGATTTAGAAGATCATTGCCGAAACAACCAAACCATTTTGTTCTTTTTTAGTGGGCTTATTACCATTGCCGAAACAACCAAACCATTTTGTTCTTTTTTAGTGGGCTTATTACCATTGCCGAAACAACCAAACCATTTTGTTCTTTTTTAGTGGGCTTATTACCATTGCCGAAACAACCAAACCATTTTGTTCTTTTTTAGTGGGCTTATTACCATTGCCGAAACAACCAAACCATTTTGTTCTTTTTTAGTGGGCTTATTACCATTGCCGAAACAACCAAACCATTTTGTTCTTTTTTAGTGGGCTTATTACCATTGCCGAAACAACCAAACCATTTTGTTCTTTTTTATCTGTTCACAAAACTTTTGCAACTTTATTAATAACTTGATTTAGAAGATCATCAATTGACTTTTGTTATTGAACTCAAAAAGTGAACTCAATCTTTTGAGTTCATTGTTCTAAATCCTTGCTGGTTTATAACTATTTTATCTGTCAACGATGTCAGCCTCCTTCTCCAATCAGTAAGTATTTCTTTAGACGATGAGACTTTCAAATTTTTTTAAGACTCTAATCAATGATCTTAGCCGATTACGTTATTTTTGGCCCCAAATTCTTCAAGAAGCAAAATTGAAAGCATCTGAGCAAGCTACGTTTGGATTTCAAAATGATTTTGTTAAGAAAAGGACAAGAAAAAGGATAACAATTCACGGTGAGTCGAGGAACACAGCCAAATTCGAAAAAGACAATTCATATAATTTTGAGGTGAACGTATTTAATACAGTTCTTGATACGCTACTCTAGCTGATAGTAACAAGGATGGATACAGCTTAAAATACAACAAAAATTTTTTCGTTCGTATGGTGGCCTCCATCTTCTTCTAGTGATATAGAAACACTTAACCAGAAAGAAGACATCTAGTTTCGCAATGTAAAAACCCGCAAGGAGAAGTTAGTATGATCTGACTAGTCTTCATACTTAACATATTATTTTTATTTGTATTTAAATTCTTGTTTAACCAAGCATTATATGCTTATTAAAGTTTATTTAAGTTCTCGTTTTATCGTATAACCAAGCTATAATATATAATTATAACCAAGTTCAAATATCAAGTGTAGTTAAATGTTACGTTATTGATATAACAATTGTTTTCATTAAATTTGGATAAGATGGTAAGCATGACAAAAACAATAAAGTTCATAATTCTATTTCTATTCTATTTAATTCTATTTTAATTCCAAGAAGCTATAATTTGGCGCACCGACTAGAAATGACCCCAAACACCATAAGGGTTCTCTGCAGGCCTGTTCTTAGACACAGAGCCGTGGCTAGGCTCCCTCACGCCCCCTATTGGGGGTGGAGCAGCATTTTTAGGGGCCCTTTTCTTAAGTTAAAAAAAAAAATGTATTTTTTATAAAAAAATATTTAAATATATATAGTTACTGTTACCACTAATAAAAAAACTTGGCCTTTTAATCCCGATATTACCTAATTTATGCAAGCGTAAAAAAAGCAATAACATTTTTAATGCAAAAAAAAAAAGAATTAACACTCCCAAGGTCCGAATTATATTAAAAAATGCAATCTTTATAAATTTATTATTTTTATTTTGCAATTTCGAATTGGTTATTTTATTATTATTATGCATTGTAAGTTTTTTATATCATAAAAAAAAATAATGAAAGAAGGTTTGCAAAAATTTATATTTATCTTTCGTTAGTTTTTCACGATATAAATATTGGTATGAAAAAAATGAAAGTGGTGCCACTAAGAGAAGAGAAAAAGCTGCAGCCAGGGAAGAAAGCACAAAATACCCCAAACTAACACATTTTTTGAAACCAGCAGTTTAGCCTGGAAGTGTTTTTCGACACCAACAGAAACTGCAAATAATTCTGATTGTCATTATTTGAATACTAGAATCAGATAGGTTGATATGTGAGTCTACATCAAATGGCATAACAATTCCGCCTATAATTTCTTCAGTGATGATCCTTCTGAGTTGCCTGATGATGTTTCTGACTCACAGAGGTATGACATTGTTAAACGTGGTTTTAAAGAGATTTAAATTAATAACAGCAAGATGAAGTATGGAGAAATTTTTGAACGGTGATAGCTCGTATATTCCTTGAATAGCAATAAAGTATTTTGTTTTTGTTGCAAAATTTTTGGGATAGCTTCTTCACCATTCCGACAAGTAATGAACACTTGGAAAGGCTTATCAAAAAAAACTTAAAGAACACGAAACATTCAGTGCATATTTTAAGTGCTTTGAACGTTGGATGACTTAACGAAAAGGCTAACTCATATTTCTTTTAGTTTATTGCTTTGTTACTTTTTTTCCTAATTTTTTTTTTCCCTGAATTTTGGTAATGCAGGCATTGCAAATCAAGCTACCATATACAAGCAAAAACAAAAGTTGCTTGTCTATGCAGCGCAGTGTTAGAAAGGATACTGGACATTACCTTATTTCTTTCTGCAAGAAATCTTGAATTCCGTGGTTCAGACACAGCCATTGGTTCAAAGAGCAAAAAAAACTTTCTTGGGGTGTTTGAATTACTGGCTAAGTACGATACCGTTTTCAATGAGCTTATGTAAAGAATTCAGGACAAAGAAACCAAGGAGCACAACAAAGTACGCCGTGTATTTTGCACAAAAAACAAATGAGCATTGGTCATCTATCAGTGCAATTTCTTTTTTTGGTGTTCTTTTTAAGGTTAAATACACTCTTTACATTGTTTCCTCCTTGATGGGAAATTTTAAAATTATGCGTGGCTATTTCAGTCAAACCACAACCAGATACCAGATGGGAAAGTAGAATAAACTGTGTTAAACCACTTCACCATTATTTAAAAGAAATCTTAGAGGCATTCGAAAGTTTGGAAGAACATGACTTAGAAAAAAGAGATGGGGCTACAGCCACAGAAGTACGATCGCTCACGGAATATATTAAAGCATGGCCTTTCTTATTATCAATCATAATTTGGTATATTTTATATCAAGTCAACAAATCAAGTAAGCTTTTTCAGTCTTCTTCAACCTCTCTTGACGTATTAGCTAGTGAAATAAAGGCAACAAATGGATTTCTTTATGAGTATTGCAAAAATGGATTCTCCAACGCACATTAAGACATCAGAAGTCGCAGAAGTTATGAGCATTGAAAAAAATTTCCAATAATATCTTTACAAAAAAAAAGTCGATTTATTTATACGAGTGTGTTAATCACACTCGGCAACCTGAACATCAGTATAAAGCAGATTTTTTTTTTGCCACTTATTGATATGTCAATTGTATCAGTGAAAGGGCATTTTGAATAGATCAGTATTGTCACAAAGCTTAATGACTTTATTTACCAATCTGAGAGTCTTATCAAAGTCTGTAATGAAAATTCTGTGTCAATATATTGCAAAAGTTTGCAAATGAAGTTTGGTGATATAGATTTTGAGAATTTAAAAATGACTTGTCATATTTAACAAGGAGGAAAAATATGCCTAAAAGAATAGCTGCAAGAAACTTATCCCAATTTAGTTGTGCCGTTACAAATCATTCTTACTTTACCTGTTACTGTTGCAAGTGCAGAACGTAGCAAGTTAAAACTAATTAAAATTTTTCATAAATAATCTTTCTTCATTATACATACTGCAAAAGCTTTTGTTTGTTTTCCCTGCTCTATTTTTGGACAAAAGCATTATTTTAGCCCTGAATTTCAGTCTTTCCTTTTGACATGAAATGACAAAATAAAAGATAATTGGCGAAAGCTAGGAGAAAAGATTTAAAGCCACCGGTGTAATGTTTAACACAGAAATCACTATATTGTCTGAAAATCACCCTTTGAAGTATTGAAAAATCAGATCCGGATCAATTCAGAACTTGAAAAGTCAATAAGAAATGAGGCATCTAAGTGGTATGAAGTTTTGCGTTGCGTCCTGGACGTCGCTCTCCATTTAGCTTCGAGAAATCTAAGTTTTTGAGGTGTGTTAGCAATTTATGTTCATGAAATAATTTTAATGTTGATGGAATATTAATATAGATGTAATCTTTATTTCAATATTATGTTCGTATTTGTGTAGGTTCATCAAACATGTTGGACGAATATGATAATGTTAATTTTTTATCCACCCTTGAGCTGTTCGGAAAACACAATAAGACACTTCAGTTCCGTCTAGAAAATGTTTCTCAACACCAAAAACAAGGAACAAGAATGCAAGTGCACTGTTTGAGCAGGAGAACTCAAAATGAGTTCATTGTAGCATGTGGTGAAACTGTTTTTGCTGCTATTATTGAAAAAGTCCGTACAGCCATTTATTTTTCCATTATTGTTGATGGAACTCCGGACGTATCTCATACGGAACAAATCACTTTCGCTTTTTGATTTGTCTGCCTAAGATTTGACAACCAATGGATAATAAAGATCTTTTTATGGAGAAAAAAGGGTTCTGACATTACGAAGTTGATTATAGACATTTTGGATCAAAGCCAAATTGATTTAAAGAACTGTACACTCTCGCGTTTTCCAGTTTTCCGACACTATCACTCCTAGACAAGTGTGGAGTTATTTTGCACATTTTTGCGGAAATTAACTTTTTCTAACTCGACTTCACAGAGGTATGGAGTTATTTGCACAAAATTGTGCAAAATAACTACACACTTGTGTCAAGGAGTGATAGCTACACACCGGTGTGGAGCTTCTTCTGAAAAATGAAAAAAACTTGAAAAAAAAGAAAAATGCAAAATCCTGGCAAATCCTGTAATGATGTAGAAGAAGAGGAGTTGATTAAAGAAATCCGTCATCCAATCATCTAAGTGTTCTAAAGCTATCAAACACTTTTGGACAAATAGAATCTCTTTCTTCTATCAAGTTGCTCAATAGAATCTACCAGAATGGTCTTCAGTCAATATTTCCTTTGATTTGCATTTTGCTTCACATTTTTAATACAATCCCGGTGTCAGTGGCTGAAGAAGAGTGCACTTTCAATAAACTTGCTCCCATCAAATCCCAGATATACCCAGGAATCCAAAGTTTGGGGCACCAAACAAAAGTTAACGCTAGGCACTACAAAGTCTCTTTGTGGGCCTGATGTCAATACATGCAAACCGAACAAGTTGAAAAAAAACTTTACGCTTTATTTTTATCAAATGATGAAATATTTCTGAATGCGGTGAGTGAAATGATTGTGTGAAACAATTGGATGGCTTTAGCGCAAAATTTAAGTGTTAAATTATAAGTATTGATCAAAGACAGTATACAAATAGAAATACACGTTGGTGGCTATCAAAGCTAAGGTTTGCATTTTTTGTTTCTCCATTACAACTTTTGAATCTTAATTACATCTTACTATTTTAATTGTAGCCTGGGTAATTTTAATTGTAACCTGGGTAATTTTAAATACGTTTTAAGCTACTTAATTACTACTTATAAGAACTTCACTGAACGTAGCTTTTTTATACTTGAGAGTTTGTCTTTATTGTTTTTTAGTTATATAAAGAATAATTATAAATTAGGAATTAAGTAAAAACTATGATTAATTAATTAAAATCAAAAATAAAAACTACGTTGATGCTGGTACCAGGGAAAAACTGGATATTTTTGGGAAGATTTTGAAAAAAAAAAATGCTTTTATCATGCGTTTTGCAAAAACTTCATGGTTTTTGCAAAGCGCATAATAAAACAGATATAAATATCTAAAAAATTTCCGGCCGGATATTAAAAAAGCGCTATCCGGAACATCCCCAGCACGTCTTTGCACAATTTAAATTTGAGAAACAATATGCAAATAATAATAGAGTTTGAGTTGGGAAAGTAGGAAAACAGAAAAAGTGATTAATACCAAAAATCATTATAACTATCAGTCAAAATACTAAAAATATATTTGCTAAAAAGAAAGCAATGATGCAGTTTTACACTATTTAAGCGAGCACAATGTCCAAAAAAATCAGTATCAGTATTTTTCATGTACAGCTAAAATCTGGTGTAAAAGACAAAGCAACAAAATGACAGGAAAAACAATTTACAAAGAAAATTCAAGTCCTGATACTGAAGTCAGGTTGTGCCGAACTTTTGAAAAAATACCAGCATTAGGGTGTCTCAAAAAATTTTTTTTTCGAAAATCAAAATATGGAAAAGTTTCTTTATAATAGAATATTATATTTTTAGTTATTCACACATTTTTATTTATAATAAATAACAAAAATTATTTAAAAATAAAAAAAATAATGTATTTAATAATTTTAATAAAATATTCAAAAAAAAAAAAAAAAGATTTGTTTGCTAATTCTCCTAACATTAACATTGCGCGCGACACGGCAGTTTCAAATTGATACTTATTGGAACTTTATTCTGAGCGTGCGCAGTTAACGAGAAAAATTAACGATTTTTCAATTATTTCTTTATGAAGCTTAGCTACTCCAACTTAATTTTTTTGATGTTTGATATTTCAACTTTTTTCTTAACCAATTTGTTTCAAAGATAACGTATAAAACTTTGTTTTATATATTTTGTTGTTGCAATTACGATTTTCAAAGAGAATTTTTAAATTAAACGGTAAAATATTATTCTTAATTATTATTTATTTTTTAATCAGCTATGTTATAAGAAAACGAATTTTCTTTATCTGAAAGTAAATATTTTTATTTTCATCAGTTTATTATTCTTTCTTTAAACTTAATTTTAAAGACCAATTTTTTTTTTTTTTTTGCTAGTTTTTTGTTTATCTTACATAACTTAGGTACGTGTGTAAAAATTAGCTATCTGATCAAATGATTGGGGTGTGTGCTGACACCACAGCTAGCTACACAGAAACGAACAATCGAGCTATAAGAAATGTTATTGTTCATTCTTTGGGGAGGTCTTTTTTATGGCTAATGTGCAGATATCACATATATGAGAGACATGTGTCTCATATTATGGAACTTGTTTTTGGTGCAACAAAAAGTTCCAGAAAACACCTCTATGTTTTACTTCAGAAGCTATGGCCACAAATACATAGATAAGTTAATAAACTTGAAAGAATTGTCAAATTTGAATGGTCCCAGGATGCATTTAGACCAAGTACTCTTTTACACAAACTTACAGTTGAAACTAAAGATATAAACTTCGCACTTCATAGAAACACTTTCCAAAGAGCAGACTACAAGTATTCTTGCAAGTGTAACCTGCCTTTTTAATTTTATTTATTATTTTCTAGGTTGTTCATAAAAACAGACAGTAAGTATCTAAGAAAGTTAAAAAGAAGTACCTGCAGAACATTTAACAAGTATTACAACTGTCATAATGTTTTTATTGCTTTTCCACTCTATTTAGAGTGGAAAAGCAATAAAACAATTATCTGAAATTAAATTATCATACAAGATCTGTATCTTCCTTATTCTATTAGATATAGTTTAAATCGAAACCAGCGTTTTGTGAGTGTTTTGAATTTAAAACTATCTATAATCGGAACTTTAAAATATAATATTCACGAAAAATTCTATTATATAAAAATTGACTAAAACCACCTTTTTTACCTTAGAGTTAATTTGAAAGGCTGAAATTTTCACCATAAGCTACTAATACATAATGATAACAATTAAAACTTTCCACATTTTGATTTTCGAAAAAAAAAATTGTTGAGACTGGAATTTTTGGCACATCTTGCTACATACGGCCTGCTAGTAATGAAAATACTCTAATTTTCTCTTCCTTCTCTTTCATTGGTTTATCACCTTCATCGGCTATCCGAGAGATATGCACCAGCTATGGCGTCAATTGAGAATATTGGCATCATTTATTGTGAAGTAATGCCAATATTCTCAAGTATATTCTGTACTTTAGAATATTGACATTATTTCACGATAACAAAACTCAAATTATTGATCGAAGCAAGGTAAGGAGTTACTTTATAAAAACTAGGGATAACCTGGTTTTCATAAAGTAATGATGAAAAATTTAAATAAGTTTCACTAAAAATGGTGAAACCTAAGTAAATGTGGCATACTTTGGTTTAACCTTTGGAATAAAAAGAGTATTCAGTTGTTTTTTGGCAAAAATAACCGAATACTTCAATTTTACAATAATACAACCACAGTGTTTCATAAGTTATAAAAATAAATTTCTAGCAATGATGTTATATAAGCAACTACATATCCAAGAATCAGGTGTATACAATATACAAAGAGCGTAAAAAAGCTACAGAAGAATAAATATCAAATCTACTCTCAATTTTATGGCAAAGAAAACGTGGGGTTTGATTATTTGGAGTAATTCGCAGTGGACGGAGTCACCTCTAATAATGTAGCAAATTTTAAGTAACTGATCTTTTAAAAAACCTACTTAGGTTTTCTGTGTTAGTTCTATATTATTAAATCAATTGAAAACCTTGATCCTGGAACATTGCCCAAAACATCTCACTAATTTAAAAAAAATTCTTCTGGCACTTTATCTATACCAATTAAACATTAGTTTTAATAACACAAAAGTTGCTGATGAGAAAAATGTGAAAAATGGTTGTTGGAGATTCCTTTTTTTTTTTTTTTTTTTTGGTTTTTTTTTTGTTGCCTGTTTTATGATTAATCAAACTTTTCTATCAAAAAGATGAGCTGATGGAAACTTTTCTGCTCGGTTGGAAAAACTTTTTTGCTCTTCGAATCCTTGATATCAATGGCACAACATGCTGGAAAAACATTTGGATTCTTGTTATATAAATAAGAGTAGAATGAAAAACATTTTGTAGCAATTAAATTGTTGCGCTTGTCAAAGATTGAGTAAACTTATGTATCGATTGAACAACAAATTAAGATTACATTTTTGTTGCTTTCAATTTAAATAAGACTAGATACTTCAAAAATGTTTCATGTGTGGTTACCACAAGGAGATAATAAACTCAAGGAGATAATAAACTAAATAACTAGGAGATAATGAACATTTGAGCAGAGCTAGAGTTGTATTATAGGATAAAATCTTATAATGCAACAAGCTGTTTTACTTATGTCCATAAGTGTTTTTTTTTCAGATCATCTTCGAGACAAAAAAGGTAAACAACGTCTTTGTTGCTTATTTAAAGAACAATGTCTCTCAAATTAATCAACTCTATAACTTATTATAATTTACTATAATTCATTACTCAGTATAAAGTGTCAAACTGAGCAATTCTTTGTATTGCCCGCCATCATAATAATATATATATATCAATTCCTAAATAGAAAATTTTGTAAATAACGCGATAAATATAAAATATATATAAAATATATAAAATATATAAAATATATAAAATATATATAAAATATATAAAATATATAAAATATATATAAAATATATAAAATATATATAAAATATATAAAATAAATATAAAATATTTCAAAGAACTTTTATTCTTCATTTTATACTTAAAGTGAAAATTTTTCCGATCTAATCATCAAAAAAATTTGAAGAAACATTTCAAAAAGTGTTTTTTTTTTTTTTTTTTTTTTTGTAATGTAGTTTATTTTCTTTGAAGATGTAATACAACATGGTCGGTGCACCGAAAAAAACGCTAAAAATCCATTGTTACTTCAATCCGCATGCGGAGTAAAGTAACAATGGATTTTTAGCGTTTTTATCTAAAATTAAGGACATTTTACTAAAAAACCCCTGCTAACACGTATCGAAGGACTAACTTAAAAAATAAAACCGTAAACCTCGCCAATAAAAATAAATAATTTTGAAACCGATAATGGATCAGTGTTAAATAAACGTAACTAGCAAAAAACAATATATCTTCGGAAAACGCCTGATTTATATGACATCTTATTTTGTTTTGAAATAACCAGTAGTTAAGAGGCATTTTTGATTTCTTATTTTTCACAATTGCAACTAGCATAATTTCGTTGAAAAGGAAGTCAAGCAGCTGAAAAAAATAAATAAGGGGTTAAAGAGATTGATGTAGTAACCCCATATTAGGCAAAAATCAATATAACTTATTCACCATCTGACGTATTGTAAAAAAATGTAAAAATATAGCGTAAAAATATGTAAAAAAAAAAACATTTTTATAATCAGAACTGTATATTATCAATAACAATGCATAAATAAATGACGTAATGGGTCATAACTGTAAATAAATGCAAGTGTTACAACAGTTTTAGCTTGATGTATTTCATTTTTAAATACCAGCTGAAATATACAGATAATAAATAAATCGCATATCAAATTTGAAAAAGAAAGAAAGTAGAAACGTTTTCTTGAGCTTTATTACCCCATCTTGTGTACACAAACACGTGTTTGCTTTTAATTTATTTTTTGACAGTATATATATTTCTATTTCTTATATAAGTATAATATATTTTTTATATTTCTATTTTATTTTTTTGTGACTACTTGTACAAAGACAAGTGTTATTTTTTTTAAGAGAGTATTTTTCTGTCAATTACAAACTGCTAAGATAAACAAGTCAAGCATCCACAAGGATTTTCCGTGGTGGATGTTTTAATCGACTTCTACCCGACTAGGCTACCACAAATCTATAGTTCGTTAAAAAAACGTGAAATATTTAAAACTCAAATTTTTGCGGTAGTAAAAGCAATAAAAGTTGATTATGTTGTTAAACATCCTTACAATACATGATTAGACGTAGTAAGCTATACGTAGATTCATAAATATAGGAAAAAAATAAGTGGACAGTTCTAAAATGCAGGGTGTTATACCCCCTTTTACTTACAAAAAATACGTTGAGAATCGAGAAAAAGGCAAATAGATGGCTAATAAATTACCTGCTGGTCAAAACAAAGCAAGAATAGGAAAGTTAACATTTTTCTTTACAAGAAAGACATCAGACGAGAAAAAGATAAACAGATGTCTAATAATTTACCTGCGAGTCAAAACAAAGAAACAATAAGACTAATTTGATTGGTAACATCTTCTCATTAATGTTCATTAGTTTTGACATTTTTGGTCCTGGTAACAATTCACAAGATATTTTACAACACCGGTATCCCGGTCCTTAGTTACTACTCGTAAGCATTTAGAAAATCAAAGCGCGTGGATGCGTAAACAAACATTGATGTTTATTTTCAAATAAAAACAAAAAAATTTTGACTGAAAACTAACTTCAGATTGTTAATCAAATTGTTTAACTTCAAAAATTAAAAACTACAACAATAACAATATTAAAAAAAATAATAATAATAATAATTCTTATTGTACTATTTGATTTATAGTACATAACTAAAATGCCTAAATAATGAACCATTGTGTATCTTGCCATGAACCTGACATTATAAGTTCACGAAAGTCACTTTTTATCTCCAAATTGTGATGTATTTTTCTAATAATTTAAAAAGTAGCAACTTCCGGTTTTATCTTTATTTGCTCAACAAACTGAAATTGACAAAGTTTGAATAAAATAACACTTGTGTATATTGTAAATATTATTTTTATATGGAAAAAATCTTTTTATTTTTTTTTTTTCTATTTTAAATATAAGTGTAATAGATAAGATTTATTATAAAAATGGATTTGTTTGGAACCTTTATATTTTTACTGGTATGGATTTTTTACTAAATATGCTACAATATATATGGATTAAGATTAATCAAAACTTAATACATTTTGGTTTTGAATGTTTTTTTTAGTCTTTTCTGCATATAACATCTGCAAATAAAAAAATTCTTCAAAAGTCTTCACCAGGTATGTTAATGTAGAGTATTTTAACATCAGATTGGCACAAAGTTAAAGAATAAAAACATTTGTTACCCTTTCTCCCTCTCCTTTTCCCCCACCCTTGTCTCCTCAAAAATAAAACAAACTAACTGACAAACAAAACATTTAATTTTATGCAAAAGGGCAAACAGGGGACTGTTCTTATATTAACAAATAAATCTTATATTAACAAATAATCTTATATTTAAATATGTCTTATTTTTCTGACATTTCAATTTTTTTTCCCATTAACAATCATTGTCATAGCTGTCGTCATCATCATCATCATCATCATCATCATCATCATCATCATCATCATCATCATCATCATCATCATCATCATCATCATCATCATCATCATCATCATCATCATCATTATCATCATCATCATCATTATCATCATCATCATCATTATCATCTCATCATCATCATTTAGTTATCATCATCACTCTCATCATCACCATCATCATTATCATCATCACCATCATAATCATTACTATCATCATCACCATCATAATCATTATCATCATCATAATTATCATAGTCATCATCATCATCACCATCATCATCATGAATGTCATCATAATCATCATCATTATTAATTACAATTGTTTATTATTATTTAAAAGAAAATTTATACTGAATTTTAATTTTCAGTAGATATGTAAACATAGTCAACTATGATAAATCAAGACCTTGTAAAAAATAATAAAAATAAATAAAAACATGTTTAAACACGTTAAAATGCTAAATATGAATACAAGAATATAAAATATATAAAAAATTCATACAAATGTCAAAAACGAAATAAAGATAAATATTAATTAGAGATTTATCTTTAATGTAAAACTTGAATTAAAATCAAATCTAAATAAAGATAAATATTACTTATGAATTGAAATCATATTTGTTAAAATAAAGATAAATATTATTTATGAATTCTTATTTTAATTTTAAATATTTAATTATTTAAGTTATATATATACTTATTAAAATCTGTGAATAAATGAATTTATGTGTACATATTACATATTGCTTCATTAATACTTTTTTTAGTTAAATGAAATTTAATGCAAATAAAATTTTTATAAATAAATTTTACTTAGTTGATAAATTTTATTTAAAAATGCCATATAGTGAATATTTATTTGATGCATTTATTTATTATTTTTATAGTTATATATGTATTTATTATTTATGTTTTTAAATATAGTTGCACCACAGTTTAAAGAAGTCAGAACAACATCACGTTCAATCTATTTAAGTTGGGAGATTCCATATTTTTCTTTGCGAACAGTATTACTCTACAAGCAAGATCAACAAGAAATTAGTGCCATACATATTTCAAATGGTGTTCGTAATCACACATTAGAAAGTTTAGGTTGTTAAAAATTTAAATATTTTCAAACATTTGATATATAGATCTTTTAGTGATTTTTAATTTTTTTTATTTATGGTATTTTGTGTAGAGCCTGGTATGAGTTATATGGTGATATTACAAATATACTATAGTTCTGCATATCTTGAAACTGTTACTAATATAATTACAACAAAGCCGATTGATCCTGATGGTAAGTACTATATTTTTCAAATTTAATTGCTTTTGTCATGTACTTACTAATTTAATGCTCTTTTTTTAGATGTTTTAAAATCTGAAGGATTTGAAATTGAAATTCAGCTATTGATTAAAAGTAATCGTTTGTCCTCTTTTGAAGTATCAGAAAAATCAACTACAGAATTAGCAGAAAAAACCTTGAGAAAAGTGAGCTTTAAATTATTACTTTCATAATTTCTAAATGCATATATATATATATATATATATACATATATATATATATATATATATATATATATATATATATATATATATATATATATATATATATATATATATATATATATATATATATATATATATATAAAACCTTTTTAGCTCTTCAAAATAAAAAAAATTCCAGTTTGTTAAAAAAATAAAATTTTATTTTTAAACAAACAGGAAAAACAGACTAGAAAAATCATCAATATTTATTTTTTGTTTCATTAACTCTAGATTCGAAAGCTGCTAAGCAATTTTAGTGATGTTAAAAATATATATATTTATTCTATCAGGTATGAATTATGATTAAAACATATATTGTTTTTCAACTTAATATATTACTGTAGTCAATCATTTTACTTTGTCCTTTAAAATAAAAGAAAAAAATTTAAATTAAAAAATTTAAATTAAAAAATTTTAAAGTTAAAAACCATATATATATATATATATATATATATACATACATATATATATATATATATATATATATATATATATATATATATATATATATATACATATATATATATATACATATATATATATATATATATATATATATATATATATATATATATATATATATATATATATATATATGCATATATATATATATATATATATACATATATATATATATATATATATATATATATATATATATATATATATATATATATATATATATATATACATACATACATATATATATAATAATATTATATATATATAATATATATATTATATTATTATATAATAATATAATACATATATATAATATATATATATATATATATATATATATATATATATATATATATATATATATATATATATATATATATATATATATATATATATATATATATATATATAATTATATAATAATTAATAATAATCATTTCATCATCACATTTACACATTACATTATTATATAATATTGAAATACTGACAATTAATATTCTTTCTTTGCAACTCTAAATCTAAATTCTAATTTTTACCAGGATTCTAATTACCATCAGCTATTAATTTAGAGCTCTTTTATATCTGCATATTTTTTACTTTTTTTTTAATTTATAAAATTTAAGGTTATTGTTATTTGAAATTTTGTATCATCTAAATGTTATAGGGAATATGTTCAGACTATAAAAAACTTATGGTGAACAAATTAATATTTTTCTTCAAAATAAAAATAAAAAACTAAACTTAAGCTTGGTGGTTTAAAAGTAACATTTTGGTTGTGCATTTATAGTATTATGGACTTACCATATTAATTTGTTAATAAATTTGGAATTATGCACTTAACTTACCACCTTAATTAAATTTAAAATTTGAATATTGATCTTAATACATGGTTTGAATAAGTTTGATAATGAATTTTAAGAAAACTTAGATGAAGTATGCTTTCATCTAAAGGAATTGATTATTAAAAGTTTGAATTCAGTTTCAGAAAGCTTGATTTAAAAATTTAGCAACCAACCAATGAAGAACAGACCACAACCAACCAATGATGAACAGACCACAACCAACCAATGAAAAACAGACCACAACTAGCCTATGAAAAATAGGCCACAACTAACCAATAAAACTAGACAATTAAATTTCTGAGTTAAAGTAAAACCATCCTGACAATAATCCAAATAGTTTTATTTTAGTTGGCAAAATCAAAAAACCTATTGCAAAGCAAAAAATTTATCCTTAGAAAAATTGCAATTTATTTGGAACAATTATTCTGAGGAATATTATTGCCAATAATAGCATAATTATTATTACTATTGCCAATTGCCAATAATAGCATAATTATTGCCAATAATAGCATAATTCGTAGGTTTAAAGTTTTTATAGGTGATGTAATCAACCAAATCAAAAAAGAACACCTTAAACTTTATATAGAAGCTGAAGTATGAATTATGTTTATACCAATTGCTTTAAATAGAGGAAATAAATACTATAGATCATATAGAGTCTCTGTTAATAATATCGAGTCTCTGTTGGCATATATCTAATCTCGTCACAAAACAATTAAATTCACTGGAAAAATACACAAGTCAAATGGACTTATTTAAAGGGATTATGAATAATGGCAAAGTTATTTTATTTATTTATTTAGATGCGATAAGCAAAAAGCTTACTTAGTAAAAGTCCACATTTGCAGCAAATTACAAATTGAAATTTATAATTTGAGTTCATGTAATAAAGTTTATCAAGACTTTTTTTCAAGATTATCACTGATTTAATACACTTGACGTCAAAGATCAAATTATTTCAAGTTGGGATAATGGAAATAGTAATAAAAAACTTTTCTAAATGAATGAACACTGTTCTTTAATAATTATACTTGGAAATTTCCAACTATTTTCTTATGGACTATGTAATCTACTAAAAAGATCTAGCTCCAAGATAAACAATAATTCTACAGTTTAATTGGAATTTATTGAAATGGTTTAGAATTAGTCAACATAACTAAATGTTCTGGCTATCATTTTGCATTTACATTTTCCAAAACTTATTTTACATTGATAATACAGCTGTATTTCAAAGTATACATATCTTCTCTGTTATAAATACATTGCTATCAACTTTTTTTTTTAAATGTTGGTGATCACTTGCTAATTTTAATTGCTGATTCCTATTGGACTTGAGAGTAAGCATCTTCTATAAAATATAAATAAAATAACAGAGGCTTTTAGCATTTCTAGATGTTTCAGAAAAAATCTTTCCTTTTTTAAACTTATATGACAATTAGTTATTTGTTTCAATATTCTTATTTGAAAATCTCATTAAAATTACTTACTTGTAATTTTGAAAATAATTTTGATAAGATAATAGTAACTGATGAAAATATTTGTAAAATATATAATATCTGCAAAATATTTAAAATATTTCAAATGTGACGCACTAACACAATGGATAAAACTATTTGAATAAAATAATTCGCCAATATAAATATGTTTTTAAAGTTTTTTAGATGCGTAAAAAGCTTTTGATCCAATTGAGATTTTTATAATTAAATTCTCTTTAATAAACTTTACATTAATAAAAACCTACTTCTCAAATAGCCAACATAATATCTTTTTTATATCATAACAGAAGTGAAACTACCTTATACCTAGGTTCAAATCATTTTTATTTGCTCTTAAGCAAGGAGTGAGAATAAATCTATCCAACCTAGTTTCAGAAAATGTTTTCTAAAATTCCCTAAAAATTCAAACCTCAGTAAAGCAAACAATTTTCAAAAATATTTTTAAAGAAATTATTCCTCATGATTTTTTTTTTTTTTTTATCTTCTTTTATTTTTGCTTGAGTTTATACTATCTTGTTTGTTTTTATTTTTATCTTTTAAATATTCACAGTGGTTGATTTAAGAAATTATAATTATTATTATATTAACTCTATTTGACAAACTAGTTTGAGAGAAACTATTTTCTATATAAAATGATACCACCGCTACATCCTGTTTACGAAATATAATTCATAGAAGTAGACAAATAAAAACCATACTAACTTTATTGTTTGCCTGGTGTATACATTTATATATATATATATATATATATATATATATATATATATATATATATATATATATATATATATATATATATATATATATATATATATATATTTATATTTATATTTATATATATATATATATATATATATATATATATATATATATATATATTTATATATATATATATATATATATATATATATATATATATATATATATATATATATATATATATATATATATATATATATATTTATATATATATATATATATATATATATATATATATATATATACATATATATATATAAATATATATATTTGTTAATAAATTTTGTATTACAACTTAGGGAAGAGCTTTCAGGTGTGTACTTGATCATGTATCTTAATGTTACGCATGTTTCATCAACGCAGTCACTGTTTGATCTTATTTTAAAATCTCAAAATGCGCTTGGTTGTGATCCTATTGGATTTACTTTCAAAATTATAAGTTGTGAGTTTAAATAAATGTAATTTTATTAAAGCAGCAATAGTTATAAATTTTTTATAATAATTATAATTATTGTAATAGTTTTTTTTATTGTATATATATATATATATATATATATATATATATATATATATATATATATATATATATATATATATATATATATATATATATATATATATATATATATATATGTATATATATATATATATATATATATATATATATATATATATATATATATATATATATATATATATATATATATATATACTGTAGATGGGGGTAACTAAAGCCACTTTCGAAATTCAAACTTCTGCCCAAGTCAGACCCTTTAATTTATAGATTAAATAAATATTGCAAAACTTGGGTCTGTGGTCATATATTAAAGAAATATATTCATAAATTGCAGAAATATACATTTTTTTAATAAAAAAAAATGAAAACATGGTGGCTTTAGTTACCCCTGGAAAAGGGGTAACAAAAGCCATCCATTAAAAAGCAATGTTTGGCTTTAGTTAGAGAGTGCTAGGGTAACTAAATCCATAAATCATGCATCTGTAACAATAAAGAACCACTATTGACAAGAAAAAAGCTTTATTATTTAAGAAAAACATTAAAAAGGGACAAAAATATAATTTAAAATAGGTCTTGTTGAAATCAGTGCTTTACCGGTAGTTCATAGGAAAAGTATAACGTCCTCTGTTTACTTTGGATGGTTTCACAATTGAAATGACACCTGTTAACTGAATGTCCATTTCGTCATCAACATTTGGTAATATATAGTCATTTCTTTTTGATTTGGAGCTTCTTCTGAAAAACTTTACTGTAACTTCGTTCTTCTCAAAACAAGTTCTAAGAATGACTCCATAGAATTGTTTGGTGGTTTCTTTTTTTGTGTTCTTATCAAAGATGAGCTCAACAATGATGTAAATATCAGGTTTAAGTTCTCCTTTAGAGACTCCTATTTTGGGGGGTTTGTCATAAGTTGTTTCTTCTAGTTGTAGATCTACTGGTATCTCCGATTCCAGGTCACTAAATGTTTCTGGATCCATATCTGAATTAGAGTCTCTCAAAGAATACTGGTCATCACTATCATCAAATGAGTCGGAACTCGCAAGTTTCTTATTATGTTTCAAAGTCTTTAGTTTGCTGTGGTTTTCCTTTGTTTTGGTGTATTGGACCTATTTGGTTGAGGATCATCATCATTGATCAGAATTGTGTCTTCAATCCCTTCAATCCCCTTTCCTGCTGGGACATTAAATTTCCTTTTCTTCCGCTGTTTAAGAGGTTCGGTCTCTCTCTTCCTATATTCTTCAAAAAAGGCTTTGATAGAATCAGTCCAGTTGTTGCTTGAATTAAGCTCTTCAGATACTGCAGTGGCATCACCATCAGAAAGCCTTTTCAGAATTTCATTTCGGTCTAAAGGTACAATACCAGCTGCCTTAAATCCACTTTTTAAGTTTTTGCTTTATGTTTTTCTCTCCCAAAGCATCAAGGCACTTTTTCAGAAGTCTTGGAAACCTGTCTTTTGGAATAGAGCCACGATTAGCCTCTTTCCACTCTGTCAAAGTCTGGCGCCATTTTATTTTTAATGGCCTAAAGAATGCCACATCTAAAGGCTGCGTGAAGTGTGTACTGTTAGGAGGTAGCAGTACAAACTTGATGTTATTTTTGTTGCATTCTTCAATAATAGATGTGACTCGACAAATTATCTCCTATCAAAACCTTCTTGGCATCACTGTCAAAATTTTTAAAGTAGGGCAAAGCTATCTCTGAAACCAGTTTTCAAAAATTTCCAGAGTGAACCACCCGCTCTTCGATCTAATATACACAGTGCCTGCTGGACCATTCTCTGTCCAAGAGTCATACAGATGGGCTGCCTTATAAGTTATATAAGGAGGCAGTAGCATTCCACTTGCACTTCCAGAAAACATTACTGATGTGCTAGACTTACAAGAATCTACTATACGCTCTGGATGCCTTGATCCCCTTTTCACAATCACTTGTTTTCTCCCTGGGTTGTCAGTCATGTTGGTTTCATCGTAGATTACTATCATTGATGGATCAATATCCTTTAATGTCTTTTCTAGTTCATTAAAGTAGTTATTGACGATGGCCCTACTGATAGCCGCTCGACTTCTTTTAATGTTTTGACCCAACCGTTTGGAAAGATTTTTACTGTTTCTTTTGAGAAAACTGTCAATAAAATCAACTCCAGGCATATTGTTTTTGAACCTAACTTCATTTCGGCCACACCGATCCAGGTAACCTTTCACTATTAGTCTTATATATGAATTTTGACTTATTAAAGTATGGGGTAACAAAAGCCACCTTTATGATGTGGCTTTAGTTACCCCATGTTGTGTATCACTGAAAAAAAAAACATCACAACAAAAGAAAGAATCAAGTTATAGGTTATAACCTTTAAAGGTGTGATGAAACATAAATTGAGGTTATGTTTGTTGAGAGTTATGAGAATTTAAGATTAAAAATGATTTGTTCAGAGCAGAAGTTATACTTCCGGCTACCAAGCTTCTTCTTTGGGTTTCGAGGCATTTTTAGTCCTAAAAAAGAGAAAAAATTTATTACTTAAGGAATTTTGACTTATTATAAAGTTTGGGGTAACAAAAGCCACCTTTATGATGTGGCTTTAGTTACCCCATGTTGTGTATCACTGAAAAAAAAACATCACAACAAAAGAAAGAATCAAGTTATAGGTTAAAACTTTTAAAGGTGTGATGAAACATAAATTGAGGTTATGTTTGTTGAGAGTTATGAGAATTTAAGATTAAAAATGATTTGTTCAGAGCAGAAGTTATGCAAGGTAACTTTTTTATCGATTTTTTAGGTTAAATATATAGTTTTACTGTACACTTACCGTGATATTGTTTTAATAATCCAGACAAGTATTTGGAAAGCAGTCCAAGTTCCTATTAGAAGAACACAACATCAGCTGTTGAATCCAAACAGTGCTGCCACTATCACCATCCAAAAATTATCTGCTATAATGGCTTTAGTTTCCCCGTAGGCTTTAGTTACCCCCATCTACGGTATATATATATATATATATATATATATATATATATATATATATATATATATATATATATATATATATATATTATATGTAAATTTTTTGTAATAGTATATATATATATATATATATATATATATATATATATATATATATATATATATATATATATATATATATATATATATATATATATATATATATATATATATATGTATATATATATATATATATATATACTATATGTAAATTTTTTATAATAGTATATATATATATATATATGTATATATATATGTATATATATATATATATATATATATATATATATATATATATATATATATATATATATATACATATATATATATATATATATATATATATATATATATATATATATATATATATATATGTATATATATATATATATATATATATATATATATATATATATATAATTATATATATGTATGTATAAATATATATATATATATATATATATATATATATAATTATATATATGTATGTATAAATATATATATATATATATATATATATATATATATATATATATATATATATATATATATATATATATATATATATATATATATATATGTATATATATATATATAAAAGAACAATAACAATGTTCATTTATCTAAACAAAAAAACAACAACAATGTTCATTTATCCAAATAAATGAAGTGAAGCTGTAACTTTTGTAAAATAGTTTAACAATTAGTGAACAATTAGCAAATAATTTAACCTTTAGTGAGCTATATAAAAAGATAAAAAATCTATAAAAACAACAAACAACAAAATTTAAGTTTTAAGGTTGAAATGTAATAATTCTTTTTAGTAAAAGTGATAAAATCAGAAAAATATCATTGATATTTTTAGTTTTTTTTTTTATTTTGAGTCAAAAAACGTGAAAAATTAAAAGGAGAAAAAGCAAAAAAAATTAAATAACTTTCAAGCTTATCCTCTTAAATTAATAGTGGAAATTAAAAGAAAAAACAAAAAAAATTATGTTTCTTATTAAAAAAAGCCCCAGCATGTTATGTATCTAAATGCCTACTTTGTATACATGAAAAAGAAAAAATAACTTTGTATAAATATCAAGAAAAAAAATCCTAAATAAAAAAACAGAATTAATATGCAAATGTTGGTGTGGAAACAATTTTTCTTAAAACCATTTACTTGAAGATTGGCAATAATAGAAGCAATCAATGTCATTTTAAAACAAATGACAACTCCGAAAATAAACCAGTATTATAACTATTCACAAAAGTTTAAACGTGAAATTTTGAGAACAAAACTCCAATATAAATCTAACAAAAAAAACATAGAAATAGGTTATTGCATATTAAATTATAAGGGAATTAAATATGTTACCTGAGTAGCAAAAATATTGAGTCAATATTAATTTAGCAAATAAACTATATAAGCAATATTGCATCATTATTATTTACTTATATTTTTTATATTGTAAATATTGCATTGTATTTGGGTGTGTTGTAGTTCAACTCATTACTGAAGTCATATAGCTGTTAAACAAAATGAAGAATTCGCTCCAAATTTCAATTATATTTTATATTACTTATTATATTAAATATATTTTGTTATAAATATATATATATATATATATATATATATATATATATATATATATATATATATATATATATATATATATATATTAATTTATTAATTTATTTATATGTGTGTGTACAAACATATCATAAGCCGAGAACCAAGAGGCCGTATGTCCACATTTTGTATTTTTTTTTGTTTATTGTTAACAAATATTCAACTCTCAATGGAGTATGTGTCTATTAGATCTAGTCTCAAGAAGGATACAACTTTTAAAAATATTTAAAAAATTAATCTTATGACATTTATGCAGGAAGCCTTTACAAATTAAATTTTAAAACTTGATTTACTTGGAAATACAAAAATTGGA